AGAATATGATTTATTATAAAATTTAATAAACATTTTCTGATTTTAATAAATATTTTAAAAAATACTAACTAGTTAATATTTTATGTTTTATATTATAAAGTAATTAATTTATTCTTTTGTTTTTATATTTTGCTAATTCTTTTTTATAAATATTTTGTTTGAAATATTAAATAGAAATTATTAATGGAAATATTATTAATGTACATTAGTCGACATCTTGTCAAAATTAGTTGACATCCTGTCGACATAATAGGAAAAACTGCATTTTTTTTTGTTATTTGGACAGATTTGGTTGACATTTCTGAAATATAGGAAATGTTGACCGAAATAATGTAATTTTTATATTACCATCCATTTTCATGTCAGTGAGCCTCGACATCGACATATGTCGGGCGACTTTAGCAACATTTGGCGACATTTGAAACCATGTAGAAGACTGAGGGCAAAAGATGAAGAGGGTAATATTGGGTTTAAAAAAATGTGTCACGTGGTGTCGCGTATGTACGGATTTTGATAGAACATTAACGGATGTTAACGACAGGGGTAGAGCTAGTCAAAAAACAATAGGGGTGGTTTAAGACAACAGTTAAACAGTAAGGGTACAGTTTGTCAATTAGCTAAACAATAGGGGTACTTTAAGAAATTTGCCCTTAAATTATTTAAATTTTAAACTCCCATGCAAAGATAGATCAACTGGATACATTCTTATTATCCATCTTTTATGCCTTTTAGCAGGTAATCTTTTCAGGACCAATGTTTTCCACACAAGCTTTTTTTTCCTCCCAAGGAAGTGAGCAACTAGCATACAAGCTGCTCTATCAATTACCTGACAGGCCAGGTACACTTATCTTCCAAGTGGAACTAATATCCTGTGTATGAAGGTGACAGATAGGTGCTGGTAACGTCTCCAGATTTGTTTGCCCTAGATTGGGATTTTATAGTGCCTTTTAGGCCTGAGTTACTGCTATTGGCAGCTCCCTACATAGTTGTCAAGAGGTTGCCTAGGCAACTAGGTGCTCTTGGCTGGTCTCCTCGCCCAAATGCCTTGACTTATGGCAACTAGGCACCCACCTAGGCGATAAAAATGTCAAGGTTGGTGCCTAATTATAATATCATTTATATTGATGCATCTTATAAATTTGTGTGTGAATACATTTTAGTATATTCTATATATCATTTATACTTTGTTCTTTTGTTTTAATTTTTATTATTGAAATTTAAAAGATCAAAAGGTTTTGAGGAGAGAAAAGGAAAGAAATAATAGAAGCAGAGGTTTCTCTTTTTTTTTTTTTCTGTTCTCTCTATCTCTATTCAATTAAATAAAACAGCAACCGCTTCCTTTTTTTTCTATTTTACTTTTCATCTTGAGTTTTTATCATATAAAGTTAATAACCTCCTTTAGTTGCTAATCGATTTCAAATTGCTCTGTTCAATACTTATTGTACTAGTACTATTTTTGAAAATAATGAAATTAATATATGTAGAGGATTTTTTATCTTTTAGATATGTTGATTTGCCACATTTCTAGAGGAAATTTAATGTTTTTAATAATAAGAATTGCTATTTCTTCAATTAATATGCATGCTGAAGCCTGAATGGTACATAAAACTAGGGAAATAGCCAAAAATTACTTCTTTATATTATAAAATCCTTTATCACCTGGGCAAACAAATCACAGTTAAGTAAACAGAGAAAAGGATAAGTTAAAACCTTGTTGGGATCCACTGCATCGAGATATAGAAGCTGGGCAACAATTATGTTGGCCATGTCATCGTCAACAGCACCACCACAACGTATTATTCTCTGAATCCAATTCCACATAAATTCAGAAGCTAATAAACAAGTAAACGACACTACAGAATTCGTAATTTGAAAGAAGCCTATCCTAATTCTATCTCTTACATGTTGAAAGAGCTGGCTGATAACACTCTGGAAACGCTCTTGAACCATAGGAGGCGGTCCTTGCCCTCCTTGAGCATAGGCAGGAAAGTAAGGAGAAGATGGAACTTGCAAATCATCCCTATATAATCAAGTAATATGTTTTCAGAAAAGAAAATGGATAAACCTAAATATGACCATAAGAGTGCATCGACTACGACAAATTGTACCGACAAACATAAATAAGTTACCTAATAGACCAAATCCCTTGCCGCGAATTCGTCTCCGGAGCCCAAAATCCATCGGAGTAAATGGCCTTGGTTGGATAAATTCGAGGGATTTTCTCCTTAGAAACCAAACTTGTTAATTTCCTGTAGAGTAGACGAGAAATCTCAGAGCGAAGTCTATCAAGAAAGTTGAAGAGAAGGGAAGGGATGAAGAATAAGAAAAACCTGGGACGTAGAGGGTCAAAAGGGAGAGGCAGCTTCTGGGTTTCGGAACGGGACGTAGGGTTGGAGGAGAAGGCGAGGGAGTTGAATCTGAGAGTTGAAGTCGACGTTGCGACGCATGAATGCGCCATTGCAGGTAGTAGCTAAGCACTGGACTGGACCAACCACTGAAAAGGAAGCTTGGTATCGGAGTTTTCTTCTCTTTGTTCTGCCGTCTTATCCACTATTAAAAAGGGGAACGTTCGAGCGCAACAACGGCACCGGACTCCTCCGATCACGAGAGAAGAGTATTTTATGTTTAGGCGCGATGCGATCAAGAGAATGAGAGATGGAATCTCGTCACTCGTCACTCACGCTTTGAGCTCGAAGAATGAAGAGGGATTTGCCGAAATGGACTTGGGCTTGGCGCCTGCGCTTTAACTTGGGGTGTTCCGTAACGTTTGTATACGATTGTGGCAGGACCTATTCACACCACATCATTGTTTAAGGTGGACGATCGACGGAAACCGTTTACACCATTCTCCCTTCATTTTATACATCTCAGTATAATTTTGTGGAATAATTTATAATTTGAAATAATAATTGATAAAATAAAACATCAATATATAATTATTAATAAATATATTTATTATTATAATATTATCTTCTATAATAAATAATTAAAAAAATTAATATAAATTAAAATACATTAAAAAATTAAGTAAAAATTAGGATAGTTAGACATGTATAATATAGGTGTGTTACACCTAATCATTCCCACAAATTGTCTATGCCTTAGTATGTCCTCATGGAGGAGAAAATGTTGTGAATGATAAATTAGGGTGTGGCTCATCCCTACTCATGCTATTTTGTGGGTGGAAACTATACACACAAAACAGAACGTTGCATTGTATTGTTAACATAACCAAAATAGTCCCGTCCACGATATATTCGCACTACCAAACAGCATGCACACCTTTGCACTCGTTAAGTTGCTATTCACTAACGTGGTGGGATCTAATTCAGACTCACACATGAAAGTAGGGTGAGCATTCGGTTTTTTCAATTAAAAACCAAAACAATCAAACCAAAATTTTTTATTTGGTTTTCAGTTATTTCAGTTAAAACTGAATTTTATATAATATAAGTTAATATAATAAATAATATATAATATGTCAATTTGACTTTTTTAATTAACCAAAATTTTAAACCTCAAAACCAAAATAATCAAATCCATACCAATTTTTTTGGTTCAGTTTTTCGGTTTTAATTGAAAAATGCTCACCCCTAGTAATAAATAACCAGTATCATAAAACCAGTACCAATCGAGTGGTGTTTATCAAAATTCACACAACTTCTAGCATTTTATGAGCCAAACAACTTTAAAAGTTGTAAAACCCTATCTATTAAGGGAAAATTCCCAATTAATACCTTGTACTTTGGGCCTAGTGCCACTTTGATCTTGAACTTTTAAATGTGACAATTCAGTACTAAAACTTTCAAAACATGTCAATCTATTAACTGTATTAAGTGGCATTTGAAAAGACACAAATGCTCTACCAGTGTTGTCTAATTCTTTTTATTAAGTATCACATCTGGTGGGTATTTTGATGATCCCAACTTTCTTGAATAAAAGAAAAAGATTTAGATCTGTTCTTTTTTTATCAACATTTAAATAATTGATAAAGAGAATTAGATAACAGAAGAAATATCTGTTTATTAAAAAACTAGACAACTGAAAATAGAATTATATGAACCCAAAAATCAACTTCCTATAAAACTACGTAAGCTCGAAAGCGGCTCGCTCGGTCAACACAGTGCCATCATCTCAGAAGCCCTCCCAAACGGATTCACTCTAAAAGTTAAAACAACGATGCTAATATCCACGTCAAGGCTGTGGAAATAGTTGTGTAGAGAAGAGTCTTCCTAGATCGAATCGAAATTTGCTCCTCACGGAACGCATCTCGCAACCACCTCGTAGCCTTATCCCATCGTGTATTGGGGAATGGGGTACATATCCTGAATAACACAATACGGGAGATGTTCTAGATGTGCGGCTGAGACGCGCTGCGACGTTGGTGTGAAAAACGCTGTGAGGAGCAGATCCGGACTCTACTAGACCGGCTTGAAAATCTTTGGTCAATTCTGTGACTCAGAATAAAAGATTCTAAAGGGACGGTTTTCTTACTGGGCTGGACAACCTCATGCCGGCGTTGGCAGGGAAGATATTAACAAGGAAATGGGGATTTGATTAAACAGAGAATGAGAGAATACCTGCTTGAAGGTGGTCCAATTCAATCCAAACAATTGGTATCATAATAAGTTCTTGTCTTTTTTTTTTTCTTTTTTGAAGCTTAATAAATTCTTATGAGTATATATTAATTTAAAGACAAATAAATAAAATTATCAGTTTGCCTCCTATAAAACTAAAATGGATGGTTATGGCTGGTAGCTTGGTGCATGGATTAAGAGATATGGAGTAAACCATGTAAACTCTTCAGCTTGCCATACACGTGGCGTGGATAACCGAGATGAATCCACCCACAACACAACCATTCACGCAAATGTCTTGACAGTAGAATGAATGGTTTAAACAACACTACTGTTGTGATTTGAAACAACCACCCGTTGAATGAAAACTTCTGATTCATGACTGAGCTGCCACATCATATTAGAGAGAGAGAGAGAGACTAGTAAATATCTATTCACTCACAAGAAGATAAGAGTATACAAGGTTCACCACTGGGAGCACAACCCTCAGTCCTAACTACAATCCTAATCACTGCCTATGACTATCTATACATGTTAGAAAACATCAACAACCATGCACACACATGAGAAAGAGCAGTTAACATCTATTCACTCGCAACAAGATAAGAGTATACAAAGTAAACACCTGGGAATCTGTCCCTACAATCCTAATCACTACCTATGACTATACATGTTAGAAGACATTGACAGACATGCATACACATGAGAGAGAGAGAGATGGGTTCCTTCCCTAGCACCCAGCAGCTTTGAGGAAGTTGTCAAATGGGCTGGCAGGAGGCAACCTCATGGACAGCCACTGTTCAGTTGATAGGACACCTTGAACAGGGCCGCTCTCATTGGTTATCTGCAGGAACAAGGAGACCAGTGCAACAAAAGCAAAGTTAGGGAAAATAAGGTGTTATAGGCTTATTGTGATCACTAAAGAGCTGTTCTGATATTAGTCCAATATATATCTTGCCTAATAGAGTTGCAAACCTTTCTGATGGTTGACTGCCCATCCGCAGAAAAAGTGGATGGCATCTTGTCACTGGCTTTTACTGCACTTGCCTCGTAAGCCAACCAATTAGACAGCTTCTTCCTTGTTCCTGTACCAAGGGCCTCACACTGGCTTGCCATGGCGCTGTATGGAAGGGGTGAGGTTGACACAGTTGCCCCAACCACCTGGCCAGCTACTTCAAGTGCCTGATAGCACAACCCACATGATAAGAGTTTATAATAAAAACACATAAAAAAACATGGCATACCAAGACCAACATACAGTCAATGTGCATGTAACTCGTTGAAGTGTATACACACTTATTTGGGCATATGCTATATAGTACAGTTGGTGGTCCAGTCTGGATACTAAACACCTAAAGCATTGATATTTGTACAGATACTTCGCATATCAACGTATCTGTAATAGGAGATAGGATGAGAAAGTTACCGATTCTAGAAGCTGTCCAACACTGATAATATGAGACAGGGATGGAGAAGCAGGAACTTTGGGTTTGACAGGGAAGCCATTGGAAGAATCGCTTGTTACATCATCTTCACTTGAATTTGTTGGTAATCCCTGCAAAATTAATAGTACCTGTCAATGCTTTGTTTTTTTCCAACATTTTATTACTATTGTAAGTGCCACATGTCCAGGTGCCAAGAGGTGTCCAACATGTCAATCCCCAAAATTCCCAACACAGAAAAAAGCTATATAAGAAATGTAAAAATAACTTAGAAACAGGAACAAAAATAGACTTAATTCCATTCCTGATCTCTGAAAAAGAAGTTAACTTCAAAGAATTGTATATAACAAAGCATCAGGTAATTTGAGAAACAAATGATATTTTCAAGATAGTACCGACATGCAAGACACCTCATTTAAGGCTCTAGGACATTGTATAAAAAGGTTCTAAGTGAGCCAAAACACCAATCATAAAATAGCATACCCCATCTGAGTGTGACTCCTTTCTAAGACCAATCATCTGAAAGTAGCGCAAGCAAAGTGCAGAGTGCGGAGCAAACATTAGTGCATCATCAGGAGTGAAGGCTTCTGACAGTTGCTTGGCCAAATCATGCGTGTCCATCTTGTGGAACATAAAGCAACAAATTAACACTGCAGTTCACTAGTGGCAACAAAAATGCGTGTACATGCAAATACACTGAATTAAAATTTTCAACAAACCAGTTTCTCAGTAAAATGGCTACCTCAGTGACATTAGAAAGGCTTCCTACTAAGATGTCCAGTATGATCCTGTCAGATTCACAGGATACCTCCCTCAGCTCAGAGAGTGTGGCCATAGCAACTTGACAATCACTGGCTGATCCACATTCTCTCATATCTGCCTGAGGCCTTATGTACAATTGTGAGTCATTGCCAATGCTCAAGAATGGATCAACCTGATTTTATAAGAAAGATTCAATCAATTGAATACAAGCACAATGGTGAAGCATATTAAATCATAAGCATGTGAACCAAGGTCGCCAAAAATATGATATTTGGGGATACAAGCTAGTGTGATATGAAATAAATAGGTGAGAAATGAATACAAGAATAAACAAAATGTTTTGGTTCAGAAATTTTCCTTGGCTATGTGCCCAACAAAGAACCGATCATCTATAGTTCTACTCATAATACTGGGCCAATCACAATACATCAATTCATACGTGGGTGATTGCAATTTTGTCCATTGTTTTCATCCTCACAAGGGACTAAAATGATGTAGCAGCAGGTATTAATAGGCCCAATGCTGTATTTTTGACAAGGTGAACCAAATAGGATTCAGAGTCTGCCTGACATTCATGGTTCCGATTGGAAAGCAAAACAAACATATCACAGCAGAGAGGGGAACTTACAACATTGGAAATTGATGATTTGAGCAGATCATTCAGATCAGAAATATGATAAATCTTGGCTGCAAACATCAACATGGCTGTTGCTAGTGTAAAAAGTGATCTCTGGCATGACGGTGGGAGCATCCCTGCCAAGTTGACACTCAACATTAGCATGTAAGCACTAAATTTCAACTAATCATACAAGACTATCAATTATTGTACCATTATGAGGATCCAGGGATATATTTCTCAGAGAAAGAGGAAGCTGAAAGAATCGGACAGCAATGCTGTGATTAGGGTTCTGCATTGTCACAAGTTAGAGAATGTTAATGAGACCTCACGTGAAAAAGGACAGGTTCAGATACCTGAACTGTCTAGTATGAAAGATTCAATAGATCTATTATAAAATTCCACA